GCAGAAGAACCATCTACCAGTGTTATAAAAGAGAAATGTGCTGTTTCCTTCACTTATTAACAGTAATTATTCTAGGACGATCGACACTGAGCATGTAACTCCCAACCCTGGCCTGTAGGTGGGGCTAAACATTGGCTATTATGTGCGAACATTGTTGCAACGTTTTCAGTTAATACCAATTGTCCGCTGAATGTAAGATGAACATGTCGTTAAAGACAAGTCGTTTACGGAACATGCAATCGCACGATAACATTTAGGGTATTAGCTTTGTTTTTACTGTGCACTAGCATAGGCGCGTTAGCACCACTAATGTTAGCACTACTCACATTAGTATCATTCCAGCAGAAGAGAGTTTTATTTGGAAAATTTGTAGAGGTTAGTTCTTACCGAGGCTAGGCAAAGCTAACTTTGCTAACATTCTTATTACAGCCTGACTTCTGGGTACTTTACCTGTAGATGTCACTCTGGTGGTACTTTATTGGTATGTGGTACTTTGTTGGTATTCTATCAACATAAAAAGGGAAATGTGTAAATAGAAGTTATTTTTTTGAGTACCCATGGTTTCACTAACACTTCCTGTGTTTTGTTTGTCTTTGTCAGGTGGACAGACGCAGTCAAACCCGTGGGCTACAGTGCACCATGACTGCTTGACCGTCTGCGCCCTCCATGGTGTTTACGGCGGCTGTTTAAACCTGATGACTGTCGGCCAGGTGATGAGCTGCAGGCTGCACAGGTGACCTGGGGGAGGTGGGGGGGGGGCACAGCCCCAGGGCAACCATGCAGTCACAACAGTCACTACAGGTAACAGTGGCAGTTATCCCTCAGTGTTGACTGACAGGTCATTTTTAGAGCTGGTGGAAGGTGAAATTGTTAATTTTTCCCTGTCGTAGACTAGAGGTGTCCGATATGTCGGCCAATATTATCGGCCATCCCCAGCGTAGCCTTGATTTTCCAGATTTTAAACTCCTTGGTTTTCCCTCAGTGTGGGCTAAGAGGGCAGTGTTTAATGATCAGTGAACAAAGGTACCAGGTACCAGCAGTAATGATTACCATGGTTTTCCTCAGTGTGGACCAGCACATCACACATAGTTTTCATTTATTTTTAGTCTCTGGTTTGCACTATTAGGACCTAGAGTTCAGTTCCACCTAGTCCCCAAATCCCAACCCTGGAAGGGGGGTAGTGGTGGGGGAGGGGTGAGGACCTGAACAGAACCACGGTGTTTTTTCCCTCTGTGTCGACTAGATCACAGCAGTGACTTTTATATACAGTCGCAGCGTCGACGGTGGCGTTTCCTTCGTCAGTCTAAGTCTGAGCACAGTCCCAGGATAAGTCATGTGACAGACTGTCCAAACAGAAACAATTGTCCCACATAGGTGTTATTTTCCCTCTGTGTGGACTGACAGGCTTTCCATGAACAAATGGAAACATGAGGAATTTTCACAGTGACCTCACTCTGCTGCTTTTTTTCTTTCTAAGTGAGAACCAAGAGATCATCCTGCGGCATCCTGTTACAGCAGCAGCAGCAGCAGCAGCAGGATGTGTTGTTGATGTTGATGTTGTTGTTGATGTTGATGTGTGAATGAGAAGAAATCTCCACACATGCTCAGAGTCTCCATGAGAAACTGTTGTTAAAATAAACAGATGAACTGAAGGAGACAGTGTGTGTGTGTGTGTGTGTGTGTTCTCCACACACACACACACAGTCCCTGCCGTGTGTTCAGAGCAGCAGTTGATTGATTTTCCATTCGTCCGAGATGCAGAGCTTGGCTCCGCCCCCTTCACCTCAACAGACAGCAGCTGTGGGAGAATGAGCCGAGAGAGGAGAGCAGCTGCAGAGCAGAACCACAGAACCACAGTAACCCAGAACCACAGAACCCCAAATCAGCCCATAAACCCAGAGTGGCTGTTCTACTGTTCCCAGACCAGCTGCACAGGTTGAACACATGGTCATTACCAGAGTTTGTCTTCACACGTGTCAGAGTCTGTGATGTCTAACCAGCGTCTCCACTGTTTTACATCAACATAAGGCCGCCGTCCCCAACGGAAGACACGACGTTTGCCAAACACGTCCTGTCTCACACACAAGTCCAAGAAGAAAAAACAACACTGGTGTCGACCTGGTGATGACGCAGCAGCCACTGGTCCACGGCCGTCCGGCAGCCTCCACTCCTGTGACCGTCCTCCAGGAACTGGAACTTTTCAAACGTACGTCAGAAAACTGTCAGCTCACACCTGCTGTCATCAACGATCTGGGTCACTGTAGGTCACTGTGGGGTCACTGCAGGTCACTGTTTACAGGCCACAGGGAGATTCTTTAGTCATATTTATTATTATATTAAATATAAATATAATAAATATATATGGTTTTCTGTTTCCTGTGTTGTCAGAGCTCATCTATTGGTTGTTGAGTCTGTGATGTCACTGCAAATTCTTTTTCCTGTGATTTGAATAGAAATTCAATGGAATTCAATGAGTGGTGATGGTTTCCCAGTAGTATTCAGTACTATGTGTCAGTACACACAGTACTATGTGCTGGTACTTATTGGTAATTTCCAGGGTGCTGGTATAGGACAGACTTTTTAAGACTCTCTAGTGTTGGTTGTTGTTGAATTGTTTTTTGTCATTTCCAGGGTCCTGTATCCAGGTGAGGGTCCTGTATCCAGGTGAGGGTCCTGTATCCAGTCAGCAGGTGAGCATCCTGGAGCCCCCTGGTGGAGTGCTGATCCAGATCTTTCCCACCTGAGGCTCCAGCTCAGGAATGTCTCTGCCTTTAATTCTACAGCAGCCTCATAAAGTCTAAACAGTGGTTAGTGTGAGTGAGTGATGGCGTCTGGGTGGTCTGGTCCCCGCCCACGCTGAGGGGTCGGGGCGTGGACTGACATGTCCCCCACAGAGACCTGTTTCCTAATCACTTTATTTGGATTCAACCCAGTGTTTCCACTGAAACTGTTAGAAGACAAAGTTAGGACTGTAGGGTTCTCTCTGAGTGGACAGAGACACTGTCTCTGTCCATGTCATTTTGTCTGTCCCCCTGACCGTCCCTGTTCTTTGTCTTTCTGTTTCTTCTCTAACACCCCCACTCCCACCCCTTGTCTGTCCATATGTCTTTTTCTGAGCCAGTCATTTTCATCTCTCCGTCTTTTTTTTCCTCTGGCCTATCACTGTTGTCCGTCCACATCCCTGCCTGACCTTCTGGATAAGAACAGGAAGTAGAATCACAGATATGATGATGTCATTGTAAATGAAATGATGTCACCTGTCACTTTAGTTTAGTGTTGGAGTGATTTAACGCTCCGCTCCAGTGACATAAATCCAACACGCCCACAGAACAATCAGCGTGTTATTATCAGGAAGGCTGTGTTATCGCTGAGTGTGTGTGTGTGTGAGTGTGTGTGTGAGTGTTGCAGGTTTATTTTAGGAGAAGAAGATATAACACATCCTCCAAACCTAGACAGACAGAAGTCCCAGTTCTTCCTCCGTCACTGACTCATTTCTTGATCTTATTTTCAGGGCGACTTCAGTCACAAGATCAGTCCTTTTTTTTGTATCGCCTAAATTCACAAAACACTTTTGTCACAATGAGGTAAACAGTTTTAAAACTAGAATTATTATTATCCTCCTAATGCCCCTCCATCCCCCATATAGGCAACAGAGAACAGAGTTTCACAAACTGACCACAAGAGGCAACAGTAGACGAGGAGCCATTTTCACATGAACACAACGGTAGTTTACTTTCTTATGCTAAATCGCACAGGCGAGTGTTTTTCCTGTTTTTATCCGATAAATGTGTAAAATAGACGGCATCTTAAAAATAAAGAAAATATTACATGTTGAGGCGCTAACATTCCGCTAATTCTTTGCGTGGGAGAAGTTCACATTTGCAACACTGAACATGCGATGTAACTGCTACATGTCTGAAATGATGTGCCTTTAAAAATTAACACCACCTATAGGCCACTTTTGCGGAAAAATATGGTTAATGCGTTGTTGTGTTTTAATTGAACAAATCGCCGACACAACCGTGACGACATCTTTACTGCCTTTATCTTTTTTAACAAGTGTATTAAAGTGTGAGTGTTTTGTTATATGTTTCCATTAGCTTTAGCAGTCAGTCCAGTTAGCTATTTGCTAAAACCAGTCATTTCCTCTGTGGACAGTTAGCAGTTAGAAACTTCAAATGTTTTGGCTTAAAAAAAATCATTAGAAACGTTTCTGATCTTTAGATATTAATAACCCAAGTACAACAAATACTGATGTCTGAGTGTGGATCACACCGACGTGGTGCGTGGACAGGTCCAGGTCTCACTCTCTCCTCCGGGAGGGGCGGGGACAGTTTTGGGGGGGCGGTGATGAAGAGGAGGAGCAGCTGCTTTTACTTCAATCTGTCGCAACGTTTTCTTCTACTTCTTTGTTTTCCAGGAAAAAAAGTTTGGAGAAACAAACTAGAACCGTGTGGAACCGGATCAGGTCCCGGGATCAAACTGGATTACTGGAGCCGGACCAGCAGAAGGAGAGAGGGCGTCGGACCAGAGTCCGAATAATGGACCATCAGTAGGACTGGGACTGGGACTGGGACTGGCGGAGACGTGTGGTGTGTGATGGACGTCAGAGTTTTCAACATCAGCTGAGGACTCGATCACTTTGTTCGATTCTCTTATCAATAACTTTATTAATCCGCGGGATGGCGGCGTGGCCGCGCCTGCTACTGCTGCTCGCGCTCTGGAGCTTCGGGCACGCAAAAAACACGTACCCGCTGCGACCCTCCTACAGCCTGTACACGGGCGGACACGCGCACGCAGGGCGCGCGGCCAGCAGACAGAGGTAAGACAGTACACGTGAACGACAGTACTACTACTACTACAGATACATATGTTGATGGAATTGTACTGGAGATACTGAGTGTTGGCCTTGACGTGGAGCAGATGTTTTATTTTGAAAGAACAGGAAGTTCAGTAGGTAGGGAAGGAGCAGTGCGGGCTAATTAATGATGACTGATGCAGGATGCAGGGCAATTTCAGTGTTGATGACGTCACTGTGATATAGGGTGACTGTCCCAGTCAATAAAATGTGGGACACAGTATTAGTTATAGTTATTAATTGATATAAAAATGTTTGGGTTTTTATTGATAGTTTTACTTGTGACTGAGTGATACCTGGTCACTGAACTGTGATGTCATTGGTCAGTATCTGTTACCATGGAGACAAAGATTCTACTCTTCAGGTTGTGTTCTGTGGTCTTCTGGAGTATTATGTAAGAATCAAAAATCAAGCTCACTACTCAGATTGGACTTTTGACCCCAGATGTACTTCCTGGGAGTTGCACCACTAATGTCTATAATTTATATCAAAGAGAAAGTTCACAGTAATTTATTTTAAATATTCCACCGTGAAGGCAGCTTCCTGACTGGAGCGGTTCGTGCTGTTGGTTTGTGTGGATTATCCGAGATAAAACCTGCAGCTTCAGTTGACGACTCGATCGAAACTAGCGCTGAATCTTGTTCTGATTTGATATTTGTTGTCACTTTTCATCCTAAAAAATGTCCCAGTTTTTGTTAGTTTTGTTGGTATGGATCGAGAAGCTGTGACGACTCCACCTACAGGCTGAAGGAGTATTTACAATCATGCACTGGCTACAGTAGGCAGTGGCCAACAACATTTCAGTCATTTTCTCCAGTGCAATAAAGTTCAACCTTTAACCTAAACTTCAAGTAGTACTGGATTGAAGTAGTAGGTTCATGAAGAAGTATTTTGCTTTCATTCAACCAAAGGAAACTTGAAGAGAATATTGGTAAAAGTTGGTTCTACTTCCTTTTAGGAAATTGTCAATTTTTCCAAAAGAGAACATCCGTAGGTAAAGCTTAGTGTCCGGTTGAAGCATCTGTCAACAACAGCAGGATGCATGACCCCGCCCGTTCCCCCGACCCCACCCCTCCACCTCTGATGAGCTAGTGCAGCCTTGTTTCCCCACCGTTCTCTAGACTGGTCATCTGCTGCAGTTCCCCACACACTGAGGAGGAAGAGTTACTGTTTACGTCTGAAACAAATAAACGTCTCTGTCACCGTGGACGCAGATTCTCTGGACTGGAACCGATCCAGACTAGAGGTCCTGCGGGTCCAGAATAAGAAATGTTTTTAGAGTAAAGATAATAAAATAAAGATCGTCAGGGACTTGGTTTAGGTTAGACTTGAGACTGGTCCTTCTGCAGCGCCCCCTTTTGGTAGAAAGGACTATTGTCAAACATCAAACATTCTTAATCTTTGCTAGAAATCTTCACTATAAAGTTTTAAACACCGTTGCTGTCACTGAACACAGGAAATTAAATATTTAAATTGATTCAAATTATTGTTGACATCTTGGACTGAACTAACCCAGCGACCCAGCGTTAATCCATCACTGATCCATTTTCACACTGGATTTTCAAGCGTCACAGAAACTTCTCTCCGCACACATCTTTGTTTGTTTGTTGGATTTTTGCCCCGTTACCCAACATGCATATGGTTACACACACGACAGTGTGTCAGCTTCCGTCCAATCAGAGGTGTCGCCCTGCCTGCCTCTGTCCATCAGCTTCTCTCCGGCCTCGGCAGGGAATCTGAGAATTCCAGGGTGTGTGAGTCGGACTGGAATGACAGGAATGATGTCACATGTGATGCTAAAAAATTAATTTAGCTTCACTCTTGTGAATGGATGTGTTGTTTTTCAAAAATAAGTTTTAAGGCAATCCCGTCAAATGCCACTAAGGTTTAGATGCCTTTAAAATTTGGCTGTTTAATGGCTACCAGCATTTGTAATGATATTTTGAGTGTGTTGTTTTTGGAACTGCAGGGCCGTGTTTACAAGAACGTCCAAAATTCAGGCTCTTTAATTAAAAAAAACCCAATGTTTATAAGTTATTTATGGTTGATCTGAAGCAGAGTTGTCTCTCAATCACTGTCATTAACTGAGTGAGGAACCCTGTGTTCTGGCCTGTAGGTGGTGCTCCGTAAATGTCAGCCCTCATCTCTAATGTTAAAGAAATCACATGAAAGTTTCAGGATTTTAAATTCCCATTTAGTCATGACTGATTCTGTCCTTCAGCCTTCAGCCCATCTTTGGCAATGTCTCTGAGTTTAATTTTCCTTTTTTTTGCAGTAACAGTGGCAGCAGCAGTATAACTAATTAGATAATTCTGTGAACCTTTTTCAGATATTCATCGTTTTACATTTTGGATTCTTGAAGCTAATATTTCTCTCATTTTCATCCTGTTCTATTTCTTTTTTTAAAATTTTGTGCATTTATATTTTTCAAAGCTAAAATCTGTTGTACATATTTAACTCTTCACAGATAAATCTCTTTATTTTGTACCCAAAAACATACCATCAACAGGACCAACAACAGTTCTAACTGTGTCTGGACTATGAAGTAGACGCCTTCAGTGACTGGGAAAAAACGCTTTCACTCGGATGCTGTTTATTAAGAGACTCACAGTTTACTTTAGTTTCCAGTTCAGTCTAACGTTTCATGACTTGAAACATCTTCCCCAAAGTGAAAAGACAAACAAGAGGGGGGCTGAGACACACAGTCAGTAAATCACACACACACACACACACACACACACACAGCCTCGGCCCCCTCCTTTTGGCAGAGCAGCAGCTGTGATGTCATCACCAAAGACTACAACAAACACCCACATGAGTCATTTCCTGTTTGATGCAGTGACATCATCACTCAGAAAGGATGATGGGCCTCCACTTAGCAGGCGGCAGGAGGTCAGAGGACACAGCTGGAGGTCAGAGGTCACAGCTGGAGGTTAGACGTTACAGCTGCTGCTGATGCTAAAGCAGCACTGAGATCAGGGGCTCCACACGGCGGCCATTTTCAATCCTGGTCCATTAGTCCAGTGTAAGCTGGGAGCTGATCAGCTGAAAACACACTGCCCATGTGTGTGTTTCAGTGTGTGTGTGTGTGTGTGTGTCGCATTTCGCTGCTGCTCTTGTTTTGTCGCTGTTCTGGATTCCAGAAAATGAACTTGACACAAATTTAATTTCAGTCCAATGGGAAACATTGGTGACATCAGCAGAGAGAGGTTTTACCCACAATGCTACTGACACATGAACAATGATGGTGCTGTGAGCGTGTGTGTGTGTGTGTGTGATTCTTCATATGTTTTCATTTTGGCAGCTGCAGCCATTTCAAAATAAAACCTGGCGTGTGTGTGAATCTGATTAACGCAGAATTATGATGTTTCATTCTGTTTACCCCCCCCCTCTCTCTCTGTCTCTCTCTCTCTCTCTCTCTCTGTCTCTCTGTCTCTCTCTCTCTCTCTCTTTGTCCATCAGGAACTGGTGTGCGTTCGTGGTCACTAAGACGGTCAGCTGTGTGGTGGAGGATGGAGTGGAAACCTATGTGAAACCTGACTATCATCCCTGCCACTGGGGGAGTGGACAGTGCAGCAGGGTGGTGGTGTGAGTACCTGCTGGACAGTACACACACACAAACACACACACACAACTCAACTAATTCTAAAACCAAAAAGCCAAGTAAAAAGGGAAGCTAAAAGTAAGAGAAAAGTTATGAAATGTAAAGCTATGTTAATGGTTGTTAGTAAGAGGCTAACAGTTAGCTCAGAGGAGGCTAACAGTTAGCTCAGAGGAGGCTAACAGTTAGCTCAGAGAAGACCCAATCCAAAAAGTCTAACCAGAACCAACAACTATTCCTTGGTCAGTACTGCGTCTGGTACCAGTTGTTGTTGATGTAAGTTTTTTTAGTACTGTTTGGAACATATGGTAAAGTTCTACAGCGGTAAACCCTGTGACCTCGCAGTAGAAACGTTTCTGGTTTGAATCCGGGGTGAACTGAGTTCCTCTTATGTGTGAATATTAGCTGTGGTTGTGGTTGTGGCGCCACCATCAGGCCTACTGTGTCCACATTCACAGCCTCCTGCGGACTGAGTGCATGGAGAGGTTCTCCCTGCGCTGCTGCTGCTGCTGCTGCTGCTGCTGCTGCTGACCTGCTGCAGCCTCACACATGGATTCAATCACACTTCACTCTCAGTGTTCTCAGCCTCTGATTGGCTAGGAGCCGCGCACCAACATATTTGTGGTGGACTGAAGGAGAGTGGAAATAAGAGAAGTGGCTGTGAGATCATATCCTGAGATACTGTGATCAGCTGAAAACCACACAGAAACTCTAAAGTACTACACGCTGTTGTAGTACAACTACAGTCTTTTAGTAGTAACAAACAGAATGCTGATTTCTGGATATTTGAGGGCAGAATGTGTTTTGATTTAATAACAGCTAGAAAACAGACAGGAACTTTTAGTTGTAGCAAAAACATAATGTATTAGAACAACACGGTCAACACAAAAGAACTTATTTATTAGTTATTAGTTTGAACATTCAGGATCAAAATGTGGGGCGTGTGACAGGCTATTCAGATTAGCCACAAACGGAATACATTAATGCTACGATAACGTCGTCTAAGATCTTCAGGTGATCCCAATAAAACTTTTAAATAATAACTTAAACTGACCCTCTTTGACCTTTGACCCATGTCTCTGCAGCTACCGTACCTACATGAGGCCACGCTACAAAGTGGCTTACAAGATGGTGACAGCAATGGAATGGAAATGTTGTCAAGGTTACAGCGGAGATGATTGCAGTGTTGGGCCAGCAGATGGAGCTGGAGGACAGGTGTCCACAACCAGACCGCAACCCAGACCAGACCAGGGTCATGGCTCCAGTCAAGGTCACAATTATGGGCAAGGAGGCAGCAACACGTTACCTGGACAGAGTGGTGAGAGTGGCTGTAGTGTATGCTGACCCCTACTGGTGACTCTTGAACTGCAGCGTGAAGTAAAAGTGTAAACATCTGTGTCTGTAAAAGGTGAGAGTGAAAGGATACGACAGCTGGAGGAGAAGATCAGGACCCTGACCAGGAACCTCCAGGATTTACACCAGCAGTTCCAGCAGGAGAGAGCAGCAGGAGGAGGGAGAGGAGGGGGGGCAGGGGGAGAAGGAGGAGGAGGAAGAAACCCCTCAATTGCAGCACAGCCAGAGATTAAAGAGACAATTCACAGCATCCAGACCAAACTGGACCAACTGGACAACCGCACACAGGTGAGATAGCCGATGACAGAGGAGGCTCTACTGTCAGGAGGAGTTCTGTAAACTGTAAACATATGATGATGATGATGATGATGTCAATGATGGCATTGTCTGTGTTTGAATCAGGCTCACGACAAAACGCTGGTGAGCATCAACAACCACCTGGTGAATGGAAAGGGCAACGACCTGGAGGGAGGTTCATCAGCAGGAGGCGGAGGAGGAGGAGGAGGAGGAGGAGGTTTTAGTGAGAAGAGGCTGAACACCCTCAAAGAGGAGATTCTAAGAGAACTGGAGAAAAGAGTTTCACTGTCCTGTTCCTCTTGTCAGGTAACGCACACGCACGCACACACACACACACGCACGCACGCCTGCTGACTTGTCTTGTTAATTCAGCTGCCTCGTCTTTTCCAGGCCGGCGTGGAGGACTTGCGTCATCAGCAGCAGCAGGACCAGGAGAGGATCCAAGCTCTGGAGAAACAGCTTAACGAGAGTCGGTACCAGCAGAGCCTGGACCTGGTACGTAGCTGCTGCAACACCGCCAACGACCTGCAGGAACGCCTGGCCGATGCTGAACGCAAGATCAGCACCACATCTGAGGACATGGACCATCTGCAGCACCGCCTGGAAAAGGAGCTTGGTGGGAGGGGAGGAGGCAGCAGTGGGGGAAGTGGGAGCAGCGGAGCCACAGGGGGCGCTGGTGGTTCTAATAGTAGTGGTGGAGGGGGTGGGGGGACTGGAGGAGGTAGTTGGACTGGAGGAGGTGGAGGTGGGGAGACTGGAGGAGGTGGAGGTGGGGAGACTGGAGGAGGTGGAGGTA